AAAGGTCGAATGGCTTTTTAAGTTTCAACCTAAAAACAAATACAAGCTTATTACCATCCACCATCTTATCACCATGAGTCTCCGCTATGCATGATTAACATCCAGCAACACTCAACCTTTGCCCATTTGATGCTTAGCCGTACACAAAACGACAATGTTAACTGTTGCTGGTTCGCTCTGTGTGCCCCGTGCCCCGAGCGAAACATCGGAGCGGTTGCTCTTGTGATCAGTGATCATATGATACATTTACTCGGAGCAAGTTCATTGGAGTAGAACTGGTAAATCATTAAACACACGCTCAGCAGTCTTCCTGCTGAGCAAAAGACTGCTACACTACAAGTGCAGACACCATTACTTCAAATGTTCTTCCCCGTGCTATTACCTAAGAAAACAGAATTAATGTTTTTCATGCGCACAACAGCAATTTAAAACACGTTATTCTCTTCCCTCCTAAGCCACGATCATTAAGGTCAGATATAAAAAACATTTGAATTAATAAACTACTGCTCTACCTTTCATGCCGGTTGAGGCTGTTGCTGGCAAAATATGCATTTAAATGATTTTCCCCCAGCACATATATGTTTTTTTCCAGCTATATAATAACATTTAAATATAATATTGTGTGTATTAGTACACAATAATATTAGGCTTCGGTTCAGAACGCTGAATTATGCACAGGAGTCCTGTGTGTGCGTGTATATTACGGCTCGATTCAATCCCTTGTAGTGAATTATAGCATTTCTCATTTCATCATAACATGCTGTAAGACTCTGCAAGCTGGTGCTACTTATTTGTTCCTTTATTGTTTATTTCTGAAAGTGTTGTATTGTTCCTAACCCCGAACTTAAGAAGTATGACACATGGATCATAAAAATGGTTATCTAGTGAAGAAATAAACGTGTCATGCCAGCATTAAATGTTGACTCAAATAAGTTCTCAAGTTGTGTCTCCTCTGATCTCTAACATGATCAGAAAGCAGCACCAGTTTACAGAGACAAGACGAGAAAAAAGTTCCATGCACAGACACAAAAGAAATATTTTGATATAGACCCAAAGAGAAAACATATCAAAAGACATTTTTATACATGTCTTTTGCAAGCACAAAAAGCAGAAATGGTGTCAAGAGAAAACAAAACAGAAGGCTTGTTTCTTCCAACAATTGCTTTAAGCTACAAAAATCTCCTTGAGTCCCTAGCCTCCCCTCAATGTCAGCCCCCCTCCCCTCGCCCTCCCTCCCTCTCTCTTCTCTTTCGTTTCTCTCTTTTCCCCTTTTCCCTCTCTAAGGCGGGACAGGGCCCTCTTTGCACCCTGATAGGTTGCGAGCTGATGCTTAGCAACAACATTCCTGTGCCCTAAGTAGCAGTAAGCCTCTGGCTGAACTCTTTGATGTGGCTGTCAGGCCACATTTATTTCCTTTTAGCACTTTGTCTACTTGTCCAGATGTATAAGGAGATAAAAAGGCCTGGTGTTTACACTGGTCTCCCTCTGTAGCGCGGCTGTAATTAGATTGTATTGCTGGTCAGTCTTAAGGAGGGAGGTGAGGTGAGGCCAGGCAGGAACCACCTGTGTCAGGATGAGCTGTTCGGGGTGAGACCTCAGATCAGTGCTCTGAAAAGCAATGTGTGTAACACGGAGCAAAATACTGACTCTGTACATAGCGCTGTGGCAGCCAGCATCATAATCACATTCTAGGGAAATCTTCCCAGATCAGTTGTCACCGTTATTTTCTGTAATATAACATCCATCAAGATTTGAAATCGACAGCCAAGCTTGCAAAACTTTGTAAACTTTGTTACAGTTGAATCTGAAAAACACCCCGATATGCGTCAGCCTTCCCCAACTCACTTTTTGGTATCTCATATTTTTCAGGAAACCCTGCTGTGGAGATGGTTATGTGTTCCATGTGGCTCTCTTTGTGTTTTGCTTTTCTTGTCTTTCCATCCCTCCCCTGTCTCTCTCTCTCTTCCTGCTCCCCTCTCACGGTGATATGTTGGAAGTAATAATCACTTTTGCCTCTGGGTTTCAACTTTATCAGCATTTATTCACATAACAACACCGACAAGGAGAAGACAGACAGCATTGGTGTGATGTATGATCCAGTACGGGAATCATCTTTCATAATGACATCCAACAGAGCTTCCCCACATTGCCACCGCCCTTTTCTCTCTCACACACGCACTTTCTTCATTTCTTTTTCCCTATTTCCACTCCCCTCTGTCCACCCTTTATTATCGCAGAATCCATGGTGCTCCCCAGCCTGTAAATTTGTGCCGCATTATCATAAGCTGTGGTGATAACTCACATTGCACAGAGACAATAATGATGTGAACACTCAGCATATGCCCCGGGCCCAGCAAATTAAAACAATGCTCAGCCTGATGAGCAGACTAATCTGGACAGCAGAGAGACTGAGAAAGAGGGAGAGAGGAAAAGGGGGTTCAGGAGCGTCTTAAATACACGACACAGCAGCACCTCCCTCTGTTCAGTGTAGGTACAACTGGAGAAAACAACGGGGAGAAAGGGACAGGAATGAAGGATAAAGGAAAGGGGGAATAAGGGCATTAGAAACATAGATGAAGCGACCATCAATGTCTTTTTTTTAAATATTTTGTCCTACAGGTGTAATCAAACAAAGTCATATTTATGTCATTTAATAGTCAAAACTAAAATAATGTGAATCTTTGGATTTTTTATAATTTGCTGTGTAGCACTCTTTGTTTATCTTAACAGTTCAGTGTAAATGTAAGTAAGCAAAGACTAGTGGTGTAACCCATTTGTGTATATATAGTATATTAAAATAATCACTGTTCACTCCATCAGCCCCTTTTGAAGCAAGTACAAGAGAGAAATCTTTCCTTCATTTATCCCGCATGCTTCCTCATTAAAAGAATTGCGCCTTTGACATCCTCTGGACAGGTCATTGACTAAAGTGAAAGAGTTGTGGAGGGATAGAGAGGAAGGTCTGCGAGGACAAAAGGGAGGATCGGGACACAGGAAAGCTGGCTGATTGATGTTCTGTGGGTGGGTTAAAATGGTTGTGCTGGATAGGACGGGAAGTGACAACCACAGATTGTTGAATGGGTTGGGTGTTTGATCAGCAGGCATGATACTGAGGAGGTGAAGTGGTGGTGTCATGCATAGCACGGGGACTGGGTGGGCGGTGATACTGAAAGCAAGGGGACTGACGTCCCATAGGACCAAAACCAGCCCAAGGCTTTATCCAGTATCCAGCTAACGCAAGCAGTCCTCCCTCTCCTTCTTCTCTCCAACACCCCCCTAACATAGTCTGTGGGTGGTGCCGTTAATAATGTGGCAACTAGGATGATTAATTGTAAGCAAGCAGCAGGATTAGGAGGGGCTTTTGGGGGCCAAGCAGGCCAGAAGAGGCCCAGGCCTTGTGATCTTTCAAGCGGTCCAGGAAATGAGGCAAGCAGGGGCGCAGCTTCACGGTGGCTCAGAAGAGCATGGAGGTATACATCAAATAAAATAGGCTCACAATTCATGTATTAATGCCTGAGTTGATCTGTTAGGCCATAATGATTGTCATAGACAGACTCTTCTGTGTTCATCATGAGAACCATTAGCAATTTAACCCTCAAATGGTAAAAGGCTAAATTAGGGCATCAAGAGCCTTTTTAAGATGCAATGTGTGTAAGTGTGGTTCCCATTCCAAAATGATTTATTTATTTTGTAGGAATAACATGAATACCTAATTGTTTATTCACAAATGAGGATTTAAAAAAAAATTCTCCGGACAGCATGTTCTTGTTTTGGGTTGTTTTACAGCTTATATTACATATTACATTCAAGTACAGCATACAAGCAAGGAGTGATCTGGGATGTTTCTAAACAGGTTTCACCCACTCCAGAGGCAGCAGGTCTGCTGTCACAATAATATTTATATTTCAAGCTGCTTCTTTTAAAAGCATAGCCCACCACTATATATGTAGTAAGGTCTCATAATAAACGTATTTAGCCATTTTTCTCTTTGGTGTAATGTGACACACATGCTGGCCAGGCCTTAATGCCTTTCAGAGATGCGATCTGAAAGCACATTATGTGATTTTTTTCAATTCACATTGCTCTCTTTGCCCATGAAGAATATGGTTCCATTTAATAGTGAAGACCATTCCATTTCTCAAGGTTATGCATGGGCATGTAGAGGAACAACAACAAAAGTGGGAAAAATGCAGCTCCAACCCTTCTCTAATATGTATTTGTCAGTTGAGTCTCTTGTTATGATTAAAGACCCAGTGAATTCCTTCCTGCAGGAAAGGAAAGTATTTTCTACAAAGGCATCGGATATCGCTGTGTCATGATAAACTGCCTGCTCCACTAGCTAAAAGGCTAAGGAAAGGAAGAGGATGTTTTGGACCTTGAAAAGTCCACATAAAAACAACAACACAAGAAACTCTTGACCTGTTTGGGAACACGCTCTGAGATTCAGCCTCTGTTTTCTCTTTTTCTCAAAGCAGCATTTGTCACACTTGTTTATCCTTAACCTCTGACTTTGCTCACAATGAATAGCTCTTTCCAGTTTTGCAGCCAGGAATCTATGCACATATTTACCTCACATCTCAAGTATTTGACATTAAATAAGGTTAAGATGAGCTTTATTCAAAGTGAAAATTGCATTTCCTCTCTGTCGAGGGGACTGCTCTCACATGACCACGCTACATTTGGCTGCTCAGAGTGAGTGACGTTTACCCTTTAGTTGACCACTGAAAGAGGTCATGGCTGAATGAAGGTTAGGACCTCTCCTCCCAAACCAGGTCGTAGATCAGATCATCAAAGACAGGAGTGAAGCTCCACAACACGTGAGAAGTAATCAAACATGACCTGCCACATTATGTCGTAAAAAAGGAGCAGTGTTTCCAACGTGTCCTGCACGAACCCCAAAGGGTTTATGACACTCAGTCAGCTACAGTGTTATTTGATATTTTAAAACTTGTCAAACTTTTTTTTATTAAACCTGTTTGTATATCTCCTTTCCCCTATAGCCACCAAATGAAGGAGGATCTGAGAGTCACCCTCTGCCCTACACTCCTCTACCCCAAGGATCCAGAGATGCCAACAACCACAGAGGTAAGGGAAAAAAAGAAAAACCTTTGGACTTCATAACCTTTTCACTTAGGCGGTTTGTAGATACAGTTGTACAGATATTCTTCAAAGTGAAGAAGAAGCAACATGATATATTATTATATTTCAGCCCACAGATTATGTAAATAAAAGTCCTAACCCCAACGGCTACAGTGAGTGGGAATCTGTTGACCTTGCGACTGAGCTGAATATATGTTATCTATTCTTATTGATCTAATTTCATCTGTGTGATTCGTTGATAGAGGGAATAAATCTGAGTAATTCAGGTTAACTCTGATCTGAATGTATGCGTGGGAGCACACAGCACACAGCACATATACAAGATGAAGCATCCTTGATCTGTTGATACTAGACATTGATTAGGCCCCATATTGACCCGGTGTATTCGGTTGATGAAACTGTGTAGCAACTCCTTAACATCAAACACTGCACTATAGGAAGACTGCATCACATTAGATAAAAAGGCACTATGTCCTACATCCATTGTGCAGGCCCTGGCCGTCCATTTTATTATATCATACCCATACATCAGTTTCTATGAAAAATGTGTTTACTTCAACATGGATCCTCCGTAGTGTATCAGTTTCAAAACCATGTATAGCATTTAGTCACTTTCTGTGTCCTTGGACTACAAACATGCATTTCTTTGTATATGAAAGATAATTTCACACTGTAGCTACATTGTAACCATTTAACAAAAGGTGACGTAAAAAGTTTCAATATGACTTAAAGGTAGGGCTTTTTAACATATATTATTTCAAAACAAAAAGTATTAAGCAGGTATTCTCCATTGCAAATTGTTCAAGGTCTCAAATGTACACATAACCAGGAGTTCAGTTGGCAAGAAAAAATAACTGAGATTGGTGTGTCGTGACCAGATGCAACAGTTCATCCAGAGTCAGGAGCTACTTTTCAAATACGCCCCACTTTTCTCAGGTCTTTCTTAAGCCTGAGACATTTATCAGTGTCGTCACTAAGCACAACACCTTTGATGGGTTGACCACCAGTATGGTAGGCCAACATGTCAGCAGTGAACATATCTACCCCCCGTTTATGGTGCCAAGGAAAGATCTATGTCATAAAAGTGGGGACGGTGGCAGCTCGCACCTCGGATGTAAGGACAGGAAGAGCCCGTGCTTTGTCAAAATCCGACCTGGTTGGGAAAAGTCCATTTAAAGGTGAGGGGATCTGACATGAAATATTTTCCCCTCCGTCTAAGATCTGAGCAGCAGTGACAGTCTCCATTTGTTATTTTTATGATGCAGTGCTGCAGTCTTAGATAACACAGCCCTCATCTTCGCCCTTCACCTCCTCTTCATGTCCCTGCCTCCAGCCCCTACCCCAGCTCTTTGTTATGCTTTTTCCTTTTATTTACACTTCTTAAACATACTTGAGTTCTCTTTATTGGTTGAAGACGGTCACAGTAACTCCTCATTCAAAGAGAACAAAGCTGTGGCAAAGCAGCGCTACAACAAACAACGTTTTTCAGAAAATAATTTCAAAGCATTTACCGTGTTAAATTCAGGGTAGAAACAAAAGGGCTAAAACAATGTGCAGAACAATTTGATGTAGTTAAATGCAACACTCATTTCAATATGAATAGAGAATGAAACAATACGCTACATGACTTTGTTGAAAAAGTGATATTGTGTTTTTGTATTGTAAGTCCTGTTCATGCTGTTGAATTGATTTTGTTTGGTAGATATAATTCAGCAAGTAGAGGCACTCCGCTGTTTTGAAAATATTTTGTATTATGTAATGTAATGAGATATATAGAATCAAGCCATGATTTGGAGAATTACATTACATTATTGGGCAAGCAGCTTAAGAGTTTGTTAGTACACACAAATATGTTAGTGAAAGTGGTTATTTTTAAAGTTGTTCCGGTACAAGGAAGGTTATATAGTTTTATCATGACTGCTAGAGTAGCAGACAGATCAGCAGCACTTCTCACATCGCCCTGTCGGCTGCTCAGAGAGAACCTCCCTTTCCTCCTTCCAACCCTCTGCACCCACCCCTCCAGCGTGTCACCTTGTGTGCGAGCCCCAGAGCCCGGGTGCCAGAGGTAATTACAGCGACTAGAAGCTCCCAGAGGAGGGCAGCGCTGGCAGGTCACTGCCCAGGGAGAGAGGGGTGGAAACCAAGGACAGAACTCCAGGATAAGCTCCTGTCTTAGTTGGTGGAGGAGTCAACCTGGAGTAGGCAAAGTAAAACAAGGCAGCGAGCAGAAGAGCAGACGGAGTGAAAGGTGAGGGAGGAAGGAAAACATGTGGTAGTGAAATCTAAATTAGGATTTCACAGACCAGATCTGACAAGAGATTATTAGACAGAACAAGAGGGAAAGTTAAATAAGAGAGGAAATGACAGTAAGAGGACCAGCGTTAAACAGTGTAGAGACTTCAAAATGAGAGAGCTAGACAAAAAGACAAAGTGAAGGAGGATGGTGGGGGCTCCAGTGTGTCTTGGTGAAGGCGTGACACAGAGTGGAGTATATAGTCTGGCAGAGGGGCCTGAGGATCCTCCACTACTGTCACCTTGACTCTAACTCTCAGTACTGGTCCAACTGTCAACACAACTCTAAATCTAACCGTCCGAAATGGAGTCTCAGCCTAAAGTACTGTGTGTCTTCACTGGCCTACACCGTACTCTTAGCCACAGCCAATGACATGTTGTGTTCCTGTGCCTTACCATGAGGAATTATCATTTCAATATTGCAAAACAATGTGCCGGGTTATTTATTACCACCTTGTCATTTTCTTAGGGTGACACATTTTGAAGTGCAATCCTCAAGTTTATTTCATAGATCTAATTATAACTGTAGTTCACAAGAATATAAAATAAATACTTCTGACTTGATTGATAGATCCATGTACACAGAGAAGATTTTTAATTAAATATTTTTCATTTCGTCTGTATATTTCAATAAATACGCAGATTGGAAACTGCCATTTTACAGGTATCAGATTAGATGTGAGTAGGCCATCCCTCAGCAGTGACAGCGGTAAATGAAAGGGGATATATTTGAACAAGCAGAGTAAACAGACGAGGAAAAATGCCTGAAACCCGCCTTACAGTATGAGCCCCGGGCCCTTTTAATCGTGTTGTTCTGGGCCCGCTTCCAGCTACTTTGTATGTATGTATCTTAAATGGTGCACAACTGTTATTAAAATCCCGGGAGAAAGGCAGCCTTCAAAGCAACAAAAAAAAACACACCTTCTTGACGACACCCATGGGGTTTCTCGCATTTGTTTGCCGGTTTACTTTCATTACATGTTGGGGTGATCTGCACCGCAACTCCTGCTAAACTCTCCCTCGCTCCCTCAACGCCCCCCAACAAAAATTGAACAACGGGAACAGATCCAAACTAAGAGTAAACTGTTTTATAGTTGCTGCACAACAAATAAACAAACATCTGGAAGCATTCAGAGCGGCCCATTAGAAGGGCTCTGGGCTTTGCCAAAAAGGGGTAAATGATGAGGAATGGGCTGTCGAAAGGCTGGCGGAGACAGGGGAGAGGCCAGATGACGGAGCTGTGGGTGCTAAGCACTGCCTTTTAGAGCTCAGCTGGGCTCAGATAGATCTACACCTGCTGCTATCTCCTCCTCCCCGCCTTTCCTCCACCAGACATCTGGATGGGATACATGACTAATGGATGACTAAACTGCTAGTGTTGAAACTTAGCTGTTGTCATTATGAAGGGGAAGGTTGTTGGTTTGACTGATGACTTAATGGTTTTTGCACAATGCACTTAGAAAAACTAAAAGCAAGTTTGATAGCTTTAAAAATGTTAATGTATCAAACAGATAAACTGCTCCCTAATGTTGGTTAATTGTCACTTGCTTAATAACCAGAGCTGATTATTGTGTTTATAACTGCGTGGGTCATATGGCGTTGTGAATACAAATATTAACTTTCCATAAAGCGCTGTTATTTGAAGTAAACACATAGTACTAGTAACGGAATCTTTTAATTAATACATTCCCTCATACAATCTGTTTTCCGTGCTTATCTTGAGGGATTTTGTTCTTTTCTGTTTGATGTCACGCTGTAGTTTAAATGAAGATCATCTTCCTGATGATAATCTTCCTGTTCTGGTTTAGATCGCCTTGGCATGTTCCATGAGTATGGAAATGTTCTCTCTGGAACGCTGAGAGAAAAGACAGAGCACCTTTTGACGTTTCCCATTAGACACATGTACGTGCTCTGCAAGACATTTCACTCAGCCTCGTAATGATTATACCAGCAGGATCTGTCCCCTGATAAACATCACTCTGAAGCACAGAGACTGGCCCCCACACAACTAAAATGAGGCATGTGGAAAGAACAAAGTGTAAGCTTTTCCTCCACAATGGTCCAGAGTAGTTATCCGTTTCAGATTTGCGTTTTATAAACTTTTTTATGATAAACTACATGCGTGCATTCAACATTGAGAAATGACAGATGATGAAACGTTTCATAGAGAATGATATATACAGATCTCCCTGCCAGCCGTGCACACTGAGCATGTGTTGAGTGAGCCTCTGCTCCAAAGTCTACGAGGTGAATTGACAAAGTAAAGACATGGCCTTCTTCCCGGGTAAAGAGACCATAAAAATGTTTCCCAAGCACTCGTCACGGCATTAATGTTTTATTTCTTTGCAATGTTTGCCAGTTTGCGAGCTTATGAGGTGTTTATGATTAACTTTTAATGACAGTGTAAGCTTTTCCTCCACATAAAGCCATAAAAATTAAAACCACAACAGATGGTCTTATTTGTTAGTATGAACATAAAAACGTACCCCACAGGCTATACTTAAATATTTCAGAAACCATAATAAGTACTACAGTGTTTGAAAGTAAAGTATCTTTACTGAAGTATTGTACTACCTTACTATATTTCTCTTGTTTTATAGATACATTCATTGAACAGCTGCTTTTTTATTACGGTTAATATTTTTAAACATAATCATGTAATCAAACTCATAGCAAGCATTCTTCTGGATACAACTAACAAAAATGATCTGTATAAAGTCTTTAAAACAAGCTTCACTTTGACAATATTGAAATGCATCAATAATGATATTCTAATAAAATATATCTGTCAGGACCTCGACACAAACTGATGGACCCAAATGCACGACCCAGAGACAAAGTCTTGAATGTAACAAAAATGTATCTTTCATTTCAAAGATCAGGTAATTCCTTTTAACAGAGTAGGTACTGGAATTAACAAAAAGCACTCACAAGGAGGAAAAAGCTATGCATAACAAAAGAGAACTTAAGAAAGAAACTTAAGCCTACAAAATAAACAAAACAACAAAACAACAAAACCTGACATGAGTAAAAGCGATCCTTTCTTAGCTGAGGCTTGGCACGACCATTCAGGGAAACAAACAAGACGAACTGACACAGGACAGGGGGAGACAGAACTATTTAAACATGAGGTGAGTGGGAACAGGTGAAAACAATCAGGGGCGGGGCAGACACTGATGATGGCGGGAAAAACACACAAGGGGAGGAAGGAACAGGGCCTGAAATGAAAGACAAGAGGTAAGTACAAAATAAAACAGGAAATGACTAAATACATAAACAACTAACACATTTGACGAGACACAACAATATCATTATTACAACCCTCTCAAACCTTTTGTATTTTCATTTAAAATGTAATGCTAGACTTTTACTTTTAATTAAAAATAAACAAATACAAATTAATAGGATACAGATATATGCAGATATAATTAAATAAACATTAAGTAAGTTGTTTTCTACTCTTTCTGGTCCAAGATTTGTTTTAATCCATCAATGTTTAGGTAAATAATGTAATAAAGTATTGTGTTACTCTGTGCGTACAGTATGTAGGTATGTGTGATCTACTCGAGCAGACACAAATAGGACACTTAACAGTTAAACCTGCCATATCATACATATTTCTGACCAAGACTTGTATTGAGTGAACAAGAACCTGAAAGTTTAGTCAAAATCACATCAATATATTCTTTAGTGTGTCAGGTCCTGCTGAGTATCACAGTGCCATATACTCCCCGTATTTGAGGACAGGCTCTATTTCCTTTATGCGAGTCAGATGATGTGATATTATTCCTCCCAGGAGTGGATTGGCTCGGCAACATGAATACTCATTAAAGCCGGTCCATGGAGATGGATGAGGGGAGAGGGGACGAGGCGAACTGGGCCTGCAATCCTTCATCGCGGCTTCAAATAACACTGCACTGTCCGCATCCAAAGTGATGAGAGCTCATTTTTGGAGGCAAGCCTGTCCTTGTTATTACTACCCTGGAAATCACCTCTACGTTTTCTCCTTCAGAAGCAGGCTAGATTAAAATGCCAGTATAACCTCCTCAACTTCACTGACAGGCTTAACTGCCGAACTCTGACGTGTCAGCTCTAAACTGCTTTGAGAAAGCTGCCTTCCACCAAGCGTCATTATCTCTCCGTTATCGGATGGCACTCCGCTCACAGTGTGTGAATAATTCTGTTTGTGCTGGGTTTGGGAAAATGTCAGTGACACTATTGTTTTTACCTTGCCGTTTGATGTAGCTGAGAGAGTCTCCTGAGTGCCTTGAGTTCTTAAAGTGATGTTGGACGTATACAGCAGAAACTTAAAGGGAAAGATGGGACTGTCAACTTCTGAGCCATTTCAAGATATTTGTTACTTAGTTTTCCTAGTGGTATGAAAGTGAATATTTCTCTCTCTGATATTCTGCCTTAATAAGGGGTGTTTCATAGTCAAGTTTAAAAGGACTTGTTTTGACTTAAGTGATCCAAGCAATTTAATTATGATGCCACAAGGAGTTCACAGATCAAATTAGATATTTCCTATCTCTATGTTGTTAGTCTATATCCAAACACAATATTACTTCACAAAGAAAATAAATAATTTTTAACACTTATCCTGAAAGCACACTTTTGAATTTCTGCATCCATCTCCCCTGAAATATGATTACAAACCATATGTAGCCTTCTAAATCTTAACCGTCCGTGACCATTGCAGACAAACCTTTCTTATTTACGATGATACAAACCCAACTGAACCTAAAGCTTGCTCAGCCAAAAAACAGACACACATTTGATCCAATATGTTG